TCTCCCGGTCATTTTAAGTTTAAATTTCTTTAGGTGTTCTGCTTTGACTGGCGGTGACTTATTGCCTTTTTCAGTTAAATCATAATCGAAATTAGCTTTTTGACAGTTTAAAAAGACTAGATCAAAAAACTTATTTTCAATAAAGTACATTATTATGTGACATAAATCATAATTGAGAACGCCTTCAAAAAGATCATGCAGAAGGTCGACTGCGAAATTTTCAATAACATGAAAACTATGCAATTTATTGAAAATCGAATTTTCTCTGACACCTGTTTGTTGTACGTTACTAATTTGAACGTCAGATTTATAATTTTCTTTGTTGCGTAGCTTGTCAGAAACTTATTGAGCTTCATTTTGGCATTCTGTTTTGCTTGTTTTACAGAATCTACAAAAATAGGTAGAAGAAAAAGATCGTGAAAAACCTAATATGTAATTCAAAGCCAAGTTGTCTTCCAAAACAAGACCTAGTGCAAAATAAATAGTTTTTACATGGTTATTTACTTTTATTTGCAATCCATTTTGTTCTAAATCGTTAAATATTTCAATTAATTTGTATAAACATCGATCATTACCGAATTTTTTTACATCTTTTGATTTAAATAAAGCTGCTAGAAAAATGAATTCTAATTTATGATTTAAACAGGTAGGTGCTGAAGGCAAAGAATAATAAGCTGCTAGAATAGGCTCTGTGTGAGAACTTAAGGGATTGTTTAATTCTATATCGTCGAAATACAAGAAAATAGGAAACATAATACGTTCAGAATTTTGGCATTTTCGCTTCCAAAGCGATCCATTTATAAAATTTTTAAGTGAGACACTTCTTGATAAAATAGCTTTATTATTTTGAAATTTTTCATACACTTCCGGTAATTCAAAATATTTTTTAAGTTGGAATTTTATTGGGAACAAAATACCTGCTGCAATTGATTCGTCTATTGCTTTGAAATTACATGAAATCAAGTTAGAAAGTGAATTATCAATTTGGATTACAGAAGGATTTTCGTACATATCTGAATCTAATAACGTTTTAACAAATGTATGCTCTGAAGAAAAACTGGCGAATGGTGCCTTACAAAACGATATTAGCTCATTTAAATTCTCACGAACTTCGCTATGATCTGGCTCTAATTTTACCTTACCTTAGATTCCTTTGGGAAAAGTTGTATAATTTTGTCCGCTAAATTCGAAAAATGAAATCTTGTTGGCTTAATTTTGTTATAAATTAAGTATTCCGTGATCGAGGAACATAAAAGTTTCCGAGTCTTGGTTGATAAACTTTGATTATTTTCAAAGTATTTTAAAACAGCATTTCCATTCACGTTAGACTTTAAAATTCCTAATAACGAAATCTACTAAACTATTTTTGTAATTTACTCAGAAACGCAAAATAATACTTACTTCATTTAAATCATTAACCGCACCAAGAAAACTAGAAGAAATGGATTCTGTTGATCCTGATCCGGGCGTTGCGCTTTCTGATGGAAAAGATAAAATTTCAATGCGCTGCATTTGTTTTGATTAGTTATTTCATTATTTAGATTTTCATTTAATAATTACCACTCCTTGTTCTATTTGCCACTCCTTCAATCTCTGTTCAAAAATAATTTTGCGTCCCAAAAGTTCTTTGGGGAATAATTCATTAATGTGGCTGCTCTGCATAAACTTTAAACTTTCCTCCGTAATGTTGTGTTCTTAAAAAAAAACAACAAAAATTAATACAAAGCAAAAACGTTCGCGGCGCCTCTTTTCTTGTGAAATATTGTATATTCAAACACACATATGTACATACATGCATACATATGTACAGTTAACAGTTAACTTTGGTTATGCTGCACAAAAATTTCCTGTATGTACATATGCATTTTCAAAAGGCACATGTTTGCACTTGTATCTATTTCACAATATTATTTTCACACTTACCTTTCAGTAAATCGTACAAATCTATTAATTCAAATAATTCCAAAAGTTTGTACAATTTGTCCCCTTCGAAAACAATTTCCATATTTGTATTTGCCATATTTTATAGCACGTAAAGAAATTCCATCACTCACTTGTCACTGTTCAAATGTCGAATGGAAAACACAAAAGAGAACGCCAGCAGAGTTGAAAGCAGTGTTGCCACAGACATTTTTTTTTTTCGTACCAAAAAGCGTACCAAAATGCCTTTGAAAGTACCAACATTTTTTTTTCTAATAATAAAAGTCAAACAGCTTTGTTCATTTTATTTATTCCTTTTCAATAGGGAAACAAGAGGCTTTACATCAATATTTGTACTACAAATGTATATATATGTATAATTTTTAGAAACAAATGTACAACTTAAAGCTTAAGGACACATGGTCGTTTGTATACTCGAGATCAAGTAGGTACTTAGATTTACTTATATCTTCTTTTTAAAGATAGAAATACTAAAAGGAACTTCTTTTCTACAAAATGTGGTAGAAAAAAAAATGTAGCCTTTGCTTTTATTTTATAGGTTTATATATAAAATTCTTTAACGATTCAAAATAATACTTATATTAGAAAAATCCATAAAAATTTGCTTTTACGTGAAAAAGTACCAAAATCAAGAGCAACGTACCAACGTACCAGATCATTTTGAAAGTACCAGTTATGGTACGAAAGTACCAATTACGGCATCTCTGGTTGAAAGCAATACTTGACCAGTGATGCCAGATAAACTCCGCTAAATTTCCCACAAAAATGGGAAAAAATTCCCTCAGTTTCCCACATCTTAAATAAAAAATCCCACGAAATTCCCACAGATTTTAAATCATTTTTTATTGGGGGTATTGTATTTCTACTGCTGAGTGGAAGATACCCTGTTTCAAAATATTTTTCAAAAACGCCCTATCTCAGAATTTGTTTGAAAAACGGCCCATCTCAGAGTGAGTTTGAAAAACGACCGATCTCAATGAAAATTCAGTACATTTTCAGCTGAGAAAAGTCGTTTTTCAATCAAATTATGAGAAAGGGCGTTATTGAAACAAATTCTGAGATAGGGCGTTCTTCAACCGAATTTTTAAAAAGAGTGTTATTGAAGAATTTTCTGTAATAGAGCATTTTTGAAAAATATTTTGAAATAGGGTGGTCTTCCACTCAGCAGTCGATTTGTGATTTCACGTTCAGCATGACCGCTACATTACAGGCCGACCTAAAAAAGGCGCTCAGCGTAGCGTTTTTTCGCCAACGTCAAGCAACGCGCGATATATCGAAATAAAAGCTCTAAATTGCTCTCATTTTTCTTTTCTTGAGGTGCTGGTCCAATGCACACTTGCTTTGCTGGCTCTTCTTACATTA